TTACTGTTCACATCATCAAGGATAGATCTAATCCAATATTTTTTAACCAGTATACATGCAAATACAAATGTAAAAATATAGTAAAATATGTTTTTCTAAGTATTTTCTCAATACCAACATATTACTTTACTACTACAAACACAGACATATTGTGGAATTTAATATGATAATATTATAAAATTTTATTTCATTAAAAGTAATACATTTTTCTGTAGAATTACACGGCTATACATTTTATAAATGACTATGACAGATTGTTGGCACAATGAGAGGCGCCACTAAATAAACTTGTGATCCTGGAAACCTGCAAGACAAGCTGAATACATCAAAATCTGAATCATTTTTCAGAAAAAAAACTACATAATCAAGCTAAAATAGTTAAATTAGTTAAGATACTTCTGATCTAATAATTCTTATTTAATATTTCCTTTTACTTTGATGTTTTGTATTGTTCTAAATCAGATATTTCAGGAAATTGCAGACCGACCTTTTAGATCCCTGGGCTGCTTTGTATAAAAGTTTTTCGTTTCATACCCTGGAGCAGGCGGAACCAAAGCAAAAGCTACAAAACCATCGGTAGAGCGTTTATTAAGTTGGTGGTAATTAAGTTTCAGGAATGAGGTGATTGTATCGGATGCATTTGAAGTTCATTTAATGTTCACAAGTCACGATATTTCATTAGCCTCGGAATATTCTTTGTCTAAGGATTTGCTGATTACTGACTTTAATAATGTTATGACCATTTGCAATGGAATTTGGCGTGTGGCGTGTAAAGATAGTCAGTCCGACACTGGTTCCAATAATAATTTGTGATTCACTTGAAAAAAGAATCATAATATCGAAACATTATTATTCAACGAAACTAAAGAACAGCAAAAAGAAACTTAATTTTGACTTTATGTTAACATTATGGTGAAATATATATACTGTGCTGTAAAATTATCGTCGTTGATCTTTTTGAATTAAGCCCTTAGGGTAATGAAAGCATATACAGGGTGTTCTGAAAGTCCATCAGGAAAGTAGGGAGGTTATTCTACGGATTAAAATAATGGCATTATGTAATGACATTTTTTTTTCGAATTGACAATTGTTTGCAAGTTACAGTTGTACTCAGTTCAATTTTTTTTTATATTTCTTTTTAAATAACTTATTTAATTCAAATTGGATTCGATTTGGCACACCCACTAAGTAGATGAAGCTCTATTGGACTAGTCAGAGAAAAGTTTTATTATGCGCCGCTAGAGGGCACTTTACATAAAATTTGTTTTGTTCATAACTTTTTTCTCACAGAAATTTAAACATTATTGAAAAGAGAAATAGTATCAGGAAAAATATGTATTTTTCATTAAAGTCGATAAATGTAAGCGTTTAGCAAGAAATCCCTATTAAAGTTGTATTAATCATCAAATTTTTTATAATTCTTTCTGTAATTAATCAAGTTGACATGCTTCAAATAAATATCATTAGTAAGTTTGGTGTTACGAATTGTAACGAAAATTGTTTAAAGCAGGTAGGTATATAAGTTTGATTTTTCACCATATTCGTTTTCGGCTGTATAATAGCATTGTGGAAAAATAAGATAACGATAATGAATTTACTAATAATATTTTATTTACTAACAAAGCTGGTTTTACGAGATACGGTATTACAAATTATCATAATACGATGAGTATCTTCATGCATACCATCATCGGAGATAGTCTCTTAAAGGTATGGGACGGAATCATAGGAGATCAACTACTGGGTCCTCACTTCTTTAATGAAACTTTAAATGGGGACGGCTACTTGGAATTTCTTCGAACCCATCTTTCAGATTTGCTTGACGATGTTCTTGTCAGAATAAGAGCAAATATGTGGCTTCTACAAGATGGCGCCCGTGCGTATTTAGATGAAGTATTTCATAATCTTTGGATAGGGACAGATGGAGAGTAACTTGAGCACCTCGATCACCAGATCTCAATCCAATGGATTTATTTCTTTGGAGGCACTTAAAGCCGATAGTTTCTGAAACACCTATAAATGACGTCAACGATCTACGACAAAGAATTTCCGGTGGGTGTGAACTGATTCGAAACAATATCGGTATTTTTAATCGTGTCAGATTTTTAAAAAGTATCAGAAAATGTACTAAAGTGAATGGAGGTTATTATGAATAGTTGTTATGATAAAATAGCACTGAAAATCTGTTATACTTTGTTAGTCAACATCTATTTTCTATTATTATTATGATTATTATGAGTATTATGATAATTTGTAATAGTATCTCTTGTAAAACCAGCTTCGTTAGTAAATAAAATATTATTAATAAATTTATCATCCTCATCTTATTTTTCGACAATGCTATTACAGAGCCGAAAAAAATAATTATGGTGAAAAATCAAATTTATACCTGCTTTAAATAATTTTCGTTGCGATTCTTAACTTCAAACTTACTATAGTCTGTTTAGAAATGAAAGAGAGTAATAAAAGTTTATTATGTATGCAAATCGTAAATAAATGTAGTACTGGTGCTTATATTCAATATTTTTATATTAAAAAAACTTTGTGCGATCGGACTGTACTAAATTGTAGCAGGTAGCTAAAATTTAATCCTCGACAATCCGTCTTTGTATATGCCGCTTCAATTTCTCCGTCCATTTCTCTTATTATAAGTAAACAATATAAAAACAGCATTTCAAAACATGAGGCTACTTTAAGCATCATAAACGGGTTAAGAGGGTTTTTAGTAATTCAAATAAAATTATTCAATATTATTATCAAAATATTTGTTTAAATTTAATGAATAGACTTTTATTCCACACAAAAATATATGTATTTTGAAAATTTAAATTATGGTGAGTAAATATAGTGTTGTATAAATGCACAATAAAGAAAATAAAAAAGTAGGAATATTAAAATTCATTCTCTGAATATTCTGATGAATTATCTTCGTCTCCTAGATTGATAACGATAGGTTCCACAGTAACGTCAATTAAATTATCGAGTTCCCACATTTTCTCCTCTTCTTTTTGTACATGATGTATACATCTTTGCCAGTTATCTGCAGTTACTCGTTCCCAGGAATTTTTTAACAAAATTTTCACGTCACTTAATTTAAACGTCGTATTATTTCGCCCTACATCTCCTTTTACCTGCGCCCAGACTAATTCGATTGGGTTAAGTTCACAGTGATAAGGTGGTAACCGTAGTACCGTTATTTGGCGATTTGTTGTCATTTCATCGATAACATATTTTTTCTGATCTTTATTAAGATTGACAAGTGTCAACAGTTCCTTTTTCACCATATTTGTTACAAAAGAAATGTTTCTTCCGGATAACCATTGAATTATATCGGCTTTCCTCCAAGCAGTCGTAGGCGTCCGCTCGGTCTGCCGCGAATGGTAACTGGCATTATCCATGACAATTACAAACCCCGGAGGAATGAGATCCAACATCTGTGTAAAATACTCTTCGAAAACATCTGCGTTGATGTTTTCGTGATAGTCACCTGTATTTTTAGATTCAAATAAAAGTAAACCGCCATCTACAAAACCACTGGCACTACCTATATGTGTCACTATTAATCTTCGCCCTTTACCTGAAGGTGCCTTGAACCCTGTTGAAAGTCCATCCAAAAATGCTTGTCGAAAACTTTTTACATTTTTATCTTGCCATAATTTTGTTACAGTATATCCCTCGTTGACCCAAGTTTCGTCTAGATAATAAATATTCCTCCCTTCGTCACGGAATTTTCTAATTGATCTTAAGTAGGATCATCGCCAACAGATAATTTCATCTTTATCTGAACTGACTTCCTGTTCTGCTTTTCCCAGCAAAAATTCAACTCTCGTAAGACGGCCCATAATTTGCTTCTACTGATTTTTGGCAAATCGTTGTCCTCTGAAAGTTCACTTAAAATTTTGTTTAGCGTTGGTATTTCTTTTTTAAAATAAAATGAGTGTACATTTCTGCGAATGACATTTTTGAAGAAATCATCTGTAACGACTTTTGACCTCCCTGTAGGTGATTTTGGGGGATTTACAGTATCTTGTTCATTTTTTGTTTCCTTTAAAAGTCTGTAGATAGTCAATTTTCCAATCCCTGTCATTTTTGTTAGCATTAGTGTTACCCGATAATTACCTGAAACGAAATATTACCACGCCCATGGCCGGTTCTTATTTCGGGGTTTTATTACTCTGTTTCATTTCCAAACAGAGTATAATGACATTTATTTAAAGCATGGCAACTTGATTAATTATAGAAAGAAATATCAGTTTGATGATTAATAAAACTTTTATAGCGATTTCCTGCTAAACGGTTACATTTATCGGCATGAAGAAAGAAACAAATTTAGAATTCTATGTAAAGTGCTCACTAGCGGTACCTAATTAAACTTTTAACTGACTGGCCCAATAGATCTTCGTCTACTTAGTGGGTGTGCCAAATGAAAGAGTAACCAAACTTGAATTAAATAAGTTATTTGAAAAGTAAAATAGAAAAAAATTGAACTTTGACAAGCTGTTACTTGCAAACAATTGACAATTCGAAAAAAAATTCATTACATACTGTTACTATTTTAATCCGCAGAATCACCTAACGGAGTTTCCTGGGGAACTTTCGGAACATCCTGTATATTCACCTATATTGGTACATAATTATACTAGGATATTCATCGTACACACACCACAAAAAATTATTCGTTTGTAATGACTGCCCTTCATATTGTTTTCCTGTCAAATTACTCAATTAGCGGTTTTGGTGCTTACGCCTCATTGCATTATTAACGACAGCAATGGTTAGTATACAATATACAGCAAAGATTTAACAGTTTTTAAAATAAACTAATAACTTATTCATCTATTTTTACTTTAATTTCTTTCTGCAGTGTAGAGCACGATATTGGTACTTAAAGCCTTTCAAGATAGAAGCCGGTTAAATTTTTACCTCCGTCCTTTAAATATCATCTCAGTATTTTTCAAAATCATCACTTAAATTTCTCTAATTTGTTCTTTTATTTCCAGCTGTCGTGTTGTGCCTACCTGCAGACGACCTTGGAAAAGTTGTTTTGAGTCTAATCAACGACTTCCAGCTCCACAGCCAGAACACACTAAGCGTCTTCGTAGACGTTTTCAACTTACCAAGTTGGCTGCACTACTTCCAAAACTCTACGGAACCTTGGGAGTTTAACGTTACAAACATTGCAGACAATATAAAGATAGACATTAAAATGAACGCATTGATTTTTACGAACAATAAATTTGTACATTTAAACTTAGAGAACTATGTCGTAAGGAATATTAGAAACACGTTGGAAGTTAATAGCAATAGTGACAACGCGATTAGTTTTATGTTAGGCGATTTCCGGTCGGACGATTCGTTGCGACCTCTGTTATTTGTTCGAGCGGACAATTCTAGTGGATTTTTTGTAGAAAAAGTGACGAATAATCTAGAGGAGTGGTCTCTGAAACACAAACAATTAGATGAATGCGACAGTTGCAAATCCGACTTGGAAAAGACTTTAAGTGTTTTAGTTATTTTGGGATGCTCGTGTTTGTTCGTCTCCGTTATTTTAGCGGCAGCTGCCCTGGCGAGAAATCAGCTTATGAAGAAGAGAGTATCGAAAGGGCCTTACAAGGTCCTTTTGACTGCAACGGATTTTGTTTTCCCTCAGATAGCTGATAGTCGTAGGGTGAGTATAATCTTAAATTTATTTGCTATGGACAAAAGTGTGGAATACATTTATTACGTTATAAACAGGCAGTTTTTGAAAGTAGGTCGTCCAAGGTAAAACTGACATTTATATAGTGGGGGTCGATATTAACCGTGTTACCTATAATCCATAAGATATTTGTCGAGATAGAATTATTATTCTAAGAAAATAATAAGCCAATAAAGTTCTGTTATCGGAACTACTGTAACAATTTACCGCGGCAGGGGCGTGCCTTGAAATTTTCCGCAGATATCTTTCTACCTCGGGTGTCGATTACCACGACAAGGGCGTGCCTTGAAATTTTCCACCAATGTCTTTCTACCTCAGGTGTCGAATGCGGTTAATTCCAAGAAAGTGACGTAGGGGTCTTCTAAAAATTCTATTTCAAAAGGTATCGTATGGACTATACTATTATTTTAACTTTCTGAGCTATCATGATAGGACATTCATTTATGATAGGAATTATATTTCATTTTAATTGCTATTAATTTCTTAATAAACTTTCTGGCAAAATAAAGATGCCTATCACGGGGATATAGAAAACGGTGAAACATACAGGGTGATTCTAATGAGAAAAACGTTGTTTCAATAGACACCATTGAATTGAAAACGGTGGTTTCGTATTTTACTTTATATATTTTTAATGTTATTATCAGCTTTAAAGCGAAAAGAGAACCATTTTTCAAGGTAACTTTTTATGAAAATTTTTAAAAAATTTGTCGTTTTCGTTTCGCTTTCGATTTTCCGTTGTCAAATTTATTTATTTGATACATTTATTCTAAGAAAGCCAGCATGCAATTTACAGTGACTTCTTTAGGATTTAGGATTTAATTTCTTTTATTAACTTTAGACTCAAATTTTTATGTTTTCTGAAAAGAAAAGTTTTATACTTTAATGAAATTATATTTTTGTACCATATTTAAATTTTGTATTTGTTTAATAACACAGGCACACAAAAAAATGTCAAGACCCAGAGGGTAGACCCCCCTACCTCTCCGTTTTTGGGGTCGCTGAAACCGAATATGACCATAAAAAAAATTTAACTAGCCATTTCCCCGTTACTACCCCCCATACACCCCCTTCTGGGAGATGAAATGTCAATTCTCATACAAAGTTGAGTAGGGTGTGTATTCCTATGTTTTCTGGGCCACTAAGAACGAAGAAGACTACCAAAAATGAATTAGACCCCCTCGTTACCCCCTAGGGTCTCTTTACCACACCCTTCTGGGAGTTAAAATGTCAATTCTCATACAAAATCGAGTAGGGTGAGTATTCCTTTGTTTTCTGGGCCACTAAGAACGAAGAAGTCTACCAAAAATGAATAAGACCCCCTTGTTACCCCCTAGCGTCACTTTACCACCCCCGTACACCCATTTATGGGGGTTGAAATGTCAATTTTCATACAATGTCGAGTAGGTTGTGTACGCCTACGTTATTTAGGCTGCTGAAAACAAATGTGGGTGACAAAGGGTGCTGAGGGTTGATGAGGGGGTTGGATTCATTTCTTCTTTGTTTTCAGCAGCCTAGAAGGTGTAGGCATACACAACCCATTCGACTTTGTATGAAAATTTAAACTTCAACTACCATAAAAGGGTGTATGGGGGTGGTAAAGTGAAAAATATGCTTTTATTAGTTTTTCTACCAACAGTAGGTAATGATTTCAACTTGTACTTCTACAGACATGGGTATCTTCTTCCCAATCTTTAAAGTGCATAACTAGTTACGACGATGATTTTTCAAGTATTTATCCTTTAGTATCTATGAGATATTCATTGATATCTAATATGATATGATATTCATAAAATGCATTCATTACTTATGAACATTATTTCTGAGTACTGAATTCTGAGTACATACTTAAAAGTATAAATACGAATGTTGAATACTGTCAATTAATACTTGAATATTAAATACTGCTTATGAATAGCCAGCTCTGGTTATTATACAACAGTAAATGTTTGTGTCGTATTTTTCATAGACTTCTTGATTCCTTCTACAGAAAAGCTTTTTTGTGTGGATTCTTATCAACCGTTTTACACAACAAGCCGGCGATACGATTAAAAGCATGGAAATTTTTTTATAACATATTATCTACGGCCCTTTCCAAACATAACGCCTTCAGTTTCTTATTTGCTTGGATCTTCCAAAAAATATTTGCAGGATCAGAAGTTTACAGATGATAATTAGGTAACTGAGGCTGTGCAAAATTGGGTTTAAGCTGTACCAAAAGGCTTTTTTGTAAAGAGCAGAATACACAGAAGGGTTCTATCAAAAAATAAGATACAGACGGCTTTTATGAGCGCTCTCGTAGCAATGTTAATAAGCAGTCCCTGTTATTTGAGTACTAATTAATCTCATTATTAATAGAAAATAAAGCTACTGCTGGTTCAGTTTAATGACACTAAAATTTCAAATTGATTATACAGGGTGATTCAGAACTTATCCAAAAAAAAAATCTGGATGTACAGGGGACCCTTACAAATACAATTTTGTAAAGAAAAAATCAAAATGGTCAGTTCGAAATTGATTTAAAAATACACTTCTGCACGGCACTGGAAACTGGTCCACTGTAAAACCTGACCTCTCACAATGCGACCGGTATGGCGGCGTGATAAAAACGGACAGAAATATGTAAATAGAATTTTATCACACCTATTTTATATATCGGCAAATTCGAATGCTTTTGCCTTTATTAATTATTAATAAAATTAATTTGTGTTTTTAAATAATAAAATCATTTGACATACCCGATGCTGCAACAGCAATTATTCAAAATTTTATCCACTCACGTGTAAACACATTTGGGTCCGTCTTACTCACTTTCTACGAACTAACACAAATGATGTCTTGTTTCACCATAACACAAACGCTTCACCATAAATTAAAACGATATCCATCAACTCCGAGTATACGCAAACCATTTTTGACACTAACTACCCATTTTTGACACCAACTACTAAAAACGTATTATAAAAACAACAGATAACAGGTAAATATCGCAACGATGATTGCAAAATCCGAATTCAGTATTCGGAGTCGATGAGGCCACGTGGCAAATGATGCTAGAGACTACAGTTGTCCAGCTATGTAGTGGTTTAATGTGCTATAACTTCAATCATTTATTTTCTCAGAAACTAAGGATTTTACAAAAATTTTTTTTACAATATTGACTCCATTTCTCACGCCGCATCTATTCCCAAATTTTTTTGGATAAGTTGTGAATTACCCTGTATAAAATAAAGTAAATTTCTGGTACATCAAATCTCTATTCTTATTTTAAACTTTACCTCTATACTGGTCAAATCCGCATTTAGGTGAAACTAACTGAACTTTCTGGTTGGTCGAGTAGAAACTTATTTCTCCAACGTCGCGTCGTCTTCAATAAAACATAATTTTCAGTAATTCTTAAGAAAATTTAATATCTACCGGTTTTTTTTCTCTAGTTAAGTACCATTCGTAGAATTTATAATTGATTATTAAGCAGATAAAGGGAACAATTTAGTCTGCCGAATTTTAGGTATTCTATATTTATTTGAAAAATTTCAAGCGTAATATCTTTTGAAGGAGATAAAAGAAGTGGATATACCAAAGGGCTCTTGTTTATTTTTTCAACATTCTTTCAACTAAACAATAATTTATATAAATAAATATATTGGATAATATTTGCCATATTTGTATCAAATTATTCATTATTATTATTCCACTTCAATATTTATTTAATGATTAAATACTGCAACAAAATATTTTGTATAACCATCTTTCTTTGTAGTTATTAAATTTTTTCTTCACTTTATTGAAGTTATAGTTGGACAAAGTTTTTTAAGGATTTATCCACGTCTAGCCATATCGTGACTAACGATATTTTTTTATGTTGTCTAGGATCACTATCAGTTTTACGAGATATATGAGATTTTTAACTTACGTAAGGACAAGTTCTAAAAGTTGCTTTAATCTGGTTACTGTCTCCAGACATTATCTTTTATATTGCGTCGAAATAATGAATAACAAAAAGAAAATAATGCGATCCGTTAGGCAAGCAACATGTTTATTTTGTAGACTTAAGGCAATAGATATCCGACTTTGTCTAACTAATTTGGGATTAAAATGTCAGCTGTGTTCATTCGCGTCACATATTGCATATCCAATTAATAGCAAAATATAATTAATACAATTTAGCCTTTTCGTCACCCACATAATTACTCTGTTAATAAATTTAAATGATATGCATAAACTGCCTATGTTCAAAGAATTCCTACTTTTCCTTATATTTACATCTAAGCTGATTTAACTCAAGAAATTTTCGCGAAGAGAATATAAATTAATTCATACCGACATGCATTTGTCAAAAACTTGTGGTAAGTCTTTTTCTTTCTATCCAGAGTTTTATACATTGAGCTCCGAGATACTAAGGTCAGTTCTGACCTTTTGCACGGAAAAAGTATGTTTGTTTTAAAAATTACTACATCATTATGATAATTTTGCGGAAAAAACTACATCTGTAATAATAGGTACCTATGTAAAAAGTATTTTTGTTTAAATCCGCAAAAAAGTGGTTTACCTTTATTGCATTAAAATTTAGTAATATTATCCTACTGAATACAATTTATGTCTGCGTCTGTGTTTGTAGTAGAAGTAGTGTTAAAAAATCCAAATATACAGGGTGATTTATTAATAATGCTACGCTTTTTAAAGGAAGATTGTTAACGTCAAATTATGACAATTGAACTGAATTCTACAGGGTGTTAAAGTCAAATAAATATTTTCGATTTTTTGCAATATTTTCAAATCCTAAAATATTATTCTGCTAGCATCGTATGTTGATAAGATATTGTTATATAATTAATTTCAAACCGATTTTCTTGTTTCTATCTTTAACGCGTCATTATATTATTATACAGGGGAGTCGGGGAGAATCGCACCAAACTCCAGAAATGGATTCTAAACGTCAAAACAATATGAAAAAAACTCAAATGTTGTTA